AATTCACCCAAATGCTGGTAGTTGGCTTCTCGGTTCTAAACTGTCAGCCTAGTAACAGTTATGCAGAGAAGAAGGGAATCTAAAGACATCCATAATTCACCTTTTCTTGAGCTGATTTCCTGGTCAATTCAAGCCCATCATTTAAGAGCAATGTAGCACTTTTTACATAGATCTTAACTTCACTCACATAGATACCTAGAGTTTATTTGTCCATGGACTACCTCATTGTTGTATTGAGCTTTGATACGATATGATACTGTACAATCCTATGTCAGAAGGGTTGGGTCCAAGTCTGATTTCTGGGTTTGTTTGTTTTTTAGTGACTGTTTTGCAGTTCAGATTTGTGACTTTTTCAGCTTTCTGTGATACTGTCTATCTTATATAGCATATCAGTACAAACATGCTTGGTTCTCAATGGCTATCTTTCTAAAATGTTTGTTTACAGCCAGCTGTGATTGAAAACATAACCGAGTTCAAGCGCAGTCTACCACTCTTTCCTCTGGTGAAACCTCATATCAATTTCATGGCCGCAAAACTGTGAAGAATTTTGCTGGATGAAGAATTGGAAGCGGATCAATATGCCTTCAGTGGCATTGTATAATGAACAAACTTCTTAACCTTTAGGACAAACGATCCAGGATTCCTGATTCCTTCTCGGTTCATTCAGCATCAATGGTGCAATAGGGATACAGCAAGTTAAGCAAGTATGCTGTAGTCATGCGTTATATTTGTCATAGAGCCACTACTGGAAACTAAAATTAAGTGGTATATATAAAGATCTGTGTAGGTAAATGGTATATTTTACAATAATGTGGCCCTTTAAAAGTTCAGTTTGCATGGATTGTGAAGAAGTTTCCATAACAGTCTGATCTTCATTTGCAGGTTATTGCTTTTCTTTAAGATCAACCGTTTTGGAAGCTTATTTTATTAGACAAGGAACAAAATATTATTAAAAGGCCACATTGATGTTTTTAAAGGAAGCATGGAGTGATACCATTTTAAAAAAAAAAAAAGATTCTCAGAAGCAGCCATTTAGATTCTATGTAAAAATCAGTGGAAAAGAGGAGTAAAAAATTAACAAATATCTTTGAAGAGTTATTAGATATGTCAACATAGTTTTAATCTTTATACCTGTTTGAGGACATTTTATATACAGACTAGTAAAATGCTGGAAACACTTGGGTAGCCATGTTTTCCTTACCAAGAGTGTTACCACCTTACATTTATAATCTCTGCATTTTCTTAGGGTTGCACTGATAATGTTTCTTTGACCTATAAATAAAATTACTTTGGGAATTCTTTTCTTCCAGTTGTCATGTACTGTTTTAGGAGATTTGTGTACTGTATGTCTTGTTAAAAGGCTATCAGTAATTTTTGATAGGTGTTTAAACTCTGGGCAAACACTTCTCCTTTACCAGAAACTCACAATTTCATATTTGCCTGGATCCCCTGAACACTGTTTGAATGTCCAGAGTGTGGCCACCTAGCATGAGCAGCCCTGAGACACACCCCGCCTGCACCTTCCTCAGTTCACTAAGGCTTGTTAAGGGTTCTCATGCCACACAGTCATCTTTCGCAGGCTAGTTCTTTGAAGTGGGGACTGATACACGGTTACAGAGTTCATGCACATCAGCAGTAAATATCAGCCTAATGATGCAACGTCAAGTTGAACTTTCTCCAGTCACTTGTCTGCCTGAAAGATTTCAGTATTTTAAATGCAATCTAAATTATTCTTAGCCTGCATCACTTTTATGTGACACTTCAGGCGTCTGAAACGCAGTAATAGCACAATATGATACACTAGTTATGATTCAGAGTAGCAAACTTGGGCCAATTGATTTTGAGGAATACAGCACAAACGAGAGATACTTGTGCAAAATAAACATGGAAACAAGTATAAACTTAATATTTTAATTGTCAAACTAAAAAATCATTTAATCAAGCCATTGAAGGTTATGTCACTAAAAGCACATGGAGAAAGACCAGGGCTCAGAAGTAAAAAGGCATTTGCATTTCCAATGGTAATATGTTGTTGCAGTTCTTACTAAGTTTTCAAGTTCATTCCCCTGATTCTAGTACTAAACATTTAGACATGAGGGCCTTACACTCAAATATTATAGGTTTTAAAAGATGAGAGTGGAATGTGGGTGTTGTGGTTACACCACACATACGTTTTTGTTATGATTAATTCCATTGATGCCTTGTTGATTGTAAAACGTATGTTGCATCTTCTGGAAGAGACAATATGTAGAGTAGTTTACATTAAGGTAGAAAAACAACTGAAGAGAGAACATAGAATTAACTGAAGTGCTATATAATTATTGTATTTCACCTTGATTAGTTAACTTAAAGAACGACAGCATATTTTTACATTATGTACTTGAAGGACTGAAAGGCAATCTTTCATGGCTCAGAAGTTCATTGTTTTGTTACTCCAGAAGATGTATTTTTCAACACATAGACAAGATTGGAGCATTGTCACTTAATATCATAACAAACTGAAAACTGATCTGATGGCACGGGTCAAATGGTCCCTTCACACTATCACAAATGGCATTGTTTGTTGGAGCTGTGTAGAGGGTTGTGTGGTGCTTTGAAATCCACTGGCAAGAGGTGCTTTGGCATATGTGGGAATGTGAACACAGTGCTGCTTGCCATTTATTAGAGCAATGGTGTCTTTTCCCAGGATTGCCTGGCTACTATGGGGAGGCTTCTTCTGCAACGGCAGAAACTTGGAAACAGAGATGGCTGTCTAAATGAGACACTGGCAGGTTTTGCATTCATGCTCCCATGTGTTCCAAAGCACCTTTTCCAAATTGAGTCTGAAACATTGCCCCACGCTTGGTGGGGGCACTTACTTTGAACTTGCATGTTGTTGTATAAATATGCCTTGATGCTGAGGTATATATATGTACAGGACTCCCCACCTTTTCTTTTTGACCAAGTGGTAGATTTGGAATTTTAAGAACATGTAATAGTTCTTTAAATGCCTGCTGGGAGGCTTGCCAGTTGCAAAGCATTGATTTACCAAGAAGCTTTTTGACACCTGCCACTCTTGCTTACGTTTGTCCTTTTTCTGGGAAGGTGGGCACACTGACAAACCAAATTAATTTACACAGTCATAACCTTCAAGATGAAGTATTCTTGGACCTAAATCTGATGCTGGAGATTAGCATTTGCTTTGCAGCATGCTAGTTTCTTATTTTTCAATTAAAAGATGCAAAAAGCAAAGTGTCCATTGACATGTTGACACTCCTGCCTGCCATCTTGGGGACCCCACATGTATGGAATCAAAAGTTGAGATTAAATCTGTAGAAGAATTGTCCCAATTATCCAATGAGCAATGCTTAAAATAATTGCATCCAATTCTTTTTATTCATTAAACATGAAAAACATGCAACAATATATATGGCAAAGTCTATATAAAAGATTTCTCTTTTTATAGTTTTCTTCCAAAGCTTAACATCCTCTGGATGTGTTAATACTACAGTATAACTCTTAGGATTCCCAGACAGCTTTGGTGATGCTTACTGAAAATTCTGACAATCCTAGTACTAACACATCTGGAAAGTGCCAGATGGTTGGGAGGCTGTCCTAGAATGACAGCACAAATTTGCACAGGTTCCTTGTGGCTAGGGTTAGTTCTGGTCACATCTTAAGAAAGGATGGGCAACTTAGTGCCTATTGAGTTCTACATTGCAATTAAGAGTCCCTAAAACACCTTTAATTTCGGCCCTCATGGGGATTCCCATCTGCTGAAACTGTTTCAGCTGGGAGGAGAGATGCTATCATTTGAGCTTGAGTAATGTTTACTGTGTCCCTCCAAACTATCAGAGGTCTTCATTCATCTTGTCCCATTTCTTAATAGTATGAAAATGCTACTTTGAATTTGGGGGAACAAAGCAAACTGATTAAAACTGTATGCTACTTTACAGAGATGTTGCCATCTGTCTGCAAGAAACAGACACACACAAATATTTCTTCATACATTTATCTATCCAATAATTACCTTCACCTCTTGTCTCCACATATGCCTAATAGATTTGTCTTTGCACAACACCTTCACATTTAGTTAAAATTATATGTACTGTCTGAGGTTTTTTAAAGATAGAAATGCATACTATAAATTTAAGATGAGGGTAGGGGGGTATTTAAGCTTGCACAGCAGTCAAGAAATCCTGCAATGAAAATAAGATTCTGGTATAGAAAATAGTTCCTAATGTATCTCAAGTATTTTAAAACATTACAGTTATTACTTCCGTACTCATACAAGTTTACTCCCTTTGTAATAAACCATATATTTATATTGCAAGCATGAGAAAAGCATAGAAATGCACTTTTATCACAAATATAGCACTGGTTGTATGCAAGTTAGATACAGGTGATGATCCTTATCACACTAAATATTGGGGCTGAAGTTATAACATGGACAAAGCATCTTTTGTTCTGACATAACATTGGCAGGGTGCATGTCAGAGTTCAGACTAAATTTTAAGTTTGGAAGTACTCAATCTGGAATCCTTGGCAGGAATGCCTGAGAGATTCATCTATAAATGCGAAGTGCTGGTCATTGTACATACAGAGGCTGGCTGATTTGTCCCTCAGCAGCCACCGTTTCTGCCTGATAGAAGTCCCCCCTTAAAAATCATTTCTAACTTTGGAGGAGGCTGTCGATTGAGGGATGCTGGAAAGTGGTGTGTGTCACCTGATTGATATTTATTTATTGGATTTTTACTCAGTTACAGAACAGTGAGGAGTATGGCCCCTTCAAAATATTACTGAACTGTGTTTCCTTTATCCCTTATCTTTGGCCATGCTGACTCTGCTCCTGAGAATTGTAGTTCAGTTATATCTGGAAAGCCACATGGACTGGGTTCTAGCCAAAGGTATAATAAAATAGCAGTGGCGGAATTAGGACTATTCTAAAAGGTAATGACTTTGACATGCCAACGTAGTAGGAGCAGACCGTACTCCTTAGTAGGTATTTAATTTTAAGTGTTCTCCAGCATTTTATAGTTTGCGTTTGATAAAACAATGCAGTTTGATAACTCAGGCATTCAGTGGATTCTCTCTAGTAGATCCAAAGCTGCAGTGTCAACAAGCAATAACAAATTACTTTAGTTATACTGTTAATCAGTTCTAGTGCTCGTTAACAAAATGTATGTAACCAGAAATAATGACTAAATTACTGTAATTTTTGCAAGTGCTGTTTTAAAAACTTGATTTAGAATCCGGGTGCATGCTGACACAGAATGGCGGAGTGTTTGTCATACTCTTGATAATAAACAATCTGAATATCTTGTCTGGGTTTCTTACATTGTTTTGTATTAATTGCAATGATGCGGCTGATTTGTTGGGCTGAGGCCATTTCAGGAATACAGGAGATGATACTAAGGGTTTTCTAATTATGCCAGTTTTAACTAATAATGTGTTAATGGTTGCATTAGCTGCTTTCCAAAACACACACTTTGGGAACATTTTTTGGCTGGGCTCACACTGTGGCCCTAAACTATGCTTAACTTGTGGTTCCATATTTCATAAAAACACTACCAGCAACAGAGCAATCTAAGATTAAAGTGCTGTATCTTTTTCATTACTTGGTTAGAAAAATCTGCTTTGAGTTTGCCGGCTGTTGGAGTTTGAATGTATATCAAAGGAGGTCTCTATTCCTGTTACCCAGTTTTTTTTTTTTTTAATAAATATGTGTTCTTTTTCCCCTAGAGCTGAATTGTGTCAGAGAATAGATATAACTTGGGTGTTGTCCTCCATGAGCAAACAAATGTTCAGATTAAAAAAACGACATCATGATGATACAAAGGTTAAGGCACATACACCCACGCAAATAAACCAAATGGTAGAGTCAAGATATGAACTGCAATTTGATCTTTCAGAGCTTGCTTTCTTTCATTTTATTTTGGGAGGGATGAGTTTGTGCAGAGGCCCTCCCCGCCATGCCCCTTTGAGCAGGAGCCAGGAGTCTAGGAGGACCCCCGAATTGCACCCCACTTCTATCTGAAGGATGCTACCCCGTCCAAACACCTTCAGAAACCCTCTGGCTAGCTGCAGTTCAAGCATCAAGGATGACATGTCCCACTCCTCACTTTTTCTCCTTAATTCTTCCATCCAATTGAAATACTGTCAGTATGATTCTCAGGTTGGGTTTTCAAAGCAAAGCAATAAAATTAAGATTTTCAAACAGTTGGAATTTAAATACTTCACTTCTTGACCTAAATAAATGATTAAATGAAGTGAATCCCAATCATTCTTTCCAGGTAAGTGAGGCTCTATACAATAAAATATTCTAAATCGCTTTCTCCCAAGCAAGTGGGAATCCTGAATGCTCTAGTCTCAGTCCATCCGAGGGGAGCTAAAGTTCCCATAATGACCTTGACTTCACTGAGTATCATACACGTACTAGAGTGTTCTGTGCAAAAATGGGAGGCTGCAAATTCTCAAGCCACAGAAGCAAGACACTGAAAGGGAAACGTGCTACATGCCGTATTAGCTGTGCTCTGCATTAGAAGAGGGGTCTTGACTGTCCCGCATCTTCAGGGGCTGTAAAGAGTGGAGTCTGTCAGTTGACTAGCTGGCTGGGGTCTGACAGGTGGACGTGCTTTTTTGCTCAATATGGTTTCTGCAGATTGAGAAGCCATATTTGGGATCAGTGGCTTGTTGTTTAGTCGTTAAGTCGTGTCCGACTCTTCGTGACCCCATGAACCATATTGCGCCAGGCCTTCCTGTCCTTCACTGCCTCCCTGAGTTTGCTCAGTTTCATGCTCATTGCTTCAGTGATGCTATCTAACCATCTCATCCTCTGCCGTCCTCTTCTCCTTTTGCCTTCAATCTTTCCCAGCATCAGGGTCTTCTCCAAAGAGATCTCTCTTCGCATTAGGTGACCAAAATATCTGAGCTTGAGCTTCATTATCGATCCTTCCAATGAGCAATCAGGGTTGATTTCCTTTACCCCCAGTGTATTGCTCATGCAATTTCTCCAAATGGTGTGAAGGCCCAAGAATGTGTTATCAGCTGGCTT